GAGAGGAATTGCACCTTTCCTTGGGAAAGGAAGCACCCGGGCCTGCTGGTGGTGCTGCGCACGATCATCTGCCCAAGGGAAGTAAGGCCAGCAGACCTTCTGTCCTGGCATGTCTTGTGTGGGAGCAGTCCTTGGATATATCCAGTATTGGAGGCGATATCCAAATCAGGAGCCAGTGGCACCCGGGAACCACGGCCTTTCCGGGCTGCCCCTTAGCTGGGGGAAGCGGTCCGAGCTGGTGCTGACCCCTCCGAAGGGGGGGTCCCACAGGAAAAGCGGAGTTTGTCCCTCAGATCGAGTGTTTATGGCTCGATCCGCACCAGGAGCTTCCAATGGCAGAGTCACGTGAGTTGGGAGAGCCTCACCTCTCTGTGACTCCTGATTGTCGCCTCTGGCGACTGCTAAATTCAAGATGGGAGAGCTGTGGTAACTACACTTACAACAGTGGAGAAAAAAGATCGGTAGGGATTAAAACTGAAGACTTTTGGAGTATTCTGCTCAAAAGGGACGTTTAACAAACCACTCTCCTGTCTCTGATCCAGAAGGGAACCAGTTAAACAACTAAAATGCATATATATAGATAAAAACAAATTATGTTTCTTCTTCCCACTGCTGCTGTTTTTTAACGGGAGCTGCTTTCCCATCGTGCTGCTTGCTCTTAGAATGAAAGCAGTTAGACTTGCTATCCCTGCTTTCCAATAAACTATAACTGAAAGAAAGCAGTAGCTGAATACAGTGACACCAGCCATTCATAAGTAATCCCTGTAGTACTGCAGAAGTTGAATTGAGACTTAAAAACGGAAAATACCTGAAGTCTGCAAAATACGACTATCTCATTTCATAGATTGATATATTTTTTTATGCTCACAAAACCATTGCATGCTCACTTTCACAAATTACTGACATGACTGGCAGCTTGTTTGGTTCATCCGTAGGAAGCTTTTCCTTAACGCTGTTGAAATAGAGCAGCCGGGGTGGGTGGGGGTGGGTGTTGGAATCAAGCTTCTCACCTTCACAGCGGCACAGGGAAATTTGTAAAGGCAACTCAAAACCGGGGAGCAAGAATATCCTATTTTTATGTACGAGGTGCACACAGCCTGCATCCATCCCTGTTATGCACAGGGATTAGCGTGCATCCATCCCTGCTTACGCACAGGGATTGCTTGAAAAGGCTTGAGGTTTTGCTTGCTGAAGCTGGCAGTTCCGCTGCACTGTCGGCTCCACCTCCTCGTTTTGCAG